GGACCACCTTCCCGGACGCCCACAGGAATCCTTTCCCTCTTCTGCCCAGTGTGGTCTCAGCCCCTCTGAGATTAGAAGTGGCTTTGCCTCCATCATATCTGTGAAATGGGCACAGTCAGCCTTGTTTCCCAACTGGATATTAAATTCAGGGACAGTTTTCTTCCTTTCATCCATCGATCCATTGATCCATCCATCCATTCATATACTCTTTCTATGTACCTATATATCTATATATCTGTGTATCTATCTGTGTATCTATTTATCTATCTAATCTGTCTGTCTATCTATCTATCTATCTATCTATCTATCTATCTATCTATCTATCCTACCTGCCTACATCTTATCTAGCCACTTACCTATTGTCTGTCTGTCTTTTTCCAATTCCCTCCCCACTGAGTCACAGATTCCCACTGTTTACCCGGCGGGTAACCCCCATCAGTGATTTCTGAATTTTCACCTGGGCCTCCTGTATCTTGAAAGACCAAGTCTGCTAAGCTTGCTGACCGAATCAAGTGCAGCCCAACTTCCTCATTTCAGTGTCACATCCCTGTGGGGTGAGTGGGGTGTGAATCTGAGACTCCCAAATTCAAAACAAAGGACTAGTGGCCATTTATCACATTCTGGGGACCCCTAGCCCCCTTGGCTTGCATGCTTCTTGCAGTGTCCCCAGGCCTGGCTCCCAGGGCTGTGGTTTGGGCTCAGCCCCTGCTCTGGGGAGCCCCACACGAGAGGGAGTGACCTTTTGTGCTGCTCTGTGCGGGGGCTTTCTGTTCCTCATTGTTTAGCTATGACAGAGCTGTGGTTTTTTTTTTTTTTTTTTTTTTTTTTTCTGTCCAGAGAATAAACAGGCCTGGAGATTGCTGAGAGGACTGGTTGCCTTCCGCCAGCTGCTGGGGCTGGGGGTCACAGAGAGCAGCAGAAAGGAGATAGGGGACCTTATTCAAAGCCAAGCTTGCTTGGGACCAGAAAGAACCTCGGAGGAGGCTTGGGGATGTGGGGTCCAGCTGCCTGCCCTTGGCCACCAGGAGCTCTTGATCAACACAGGGCTCTTTCCCATCAGGCCCCTCGGGCCCTGACAGGAAATCCTGCCCCAGCCTCAGCTGGACTTCTCTGGACCATCTAGAGCTGCCCAGGTCCCAGATGAGTGTGGGGCTCCCCTGGTCACCACTGCCCAGGGTGCTCGTGGGATGTAGCCGACAGCTGGGTGCCCATGAGACCTTGGCTACCTGCAGCCCCTGGGGGGATGCTATCTGAGGGAAGGAGGCAGCTGCGGGGAGTGGGGGCTCAATTAGAGGGGCAGGCACAGCTCCTTCAGAAGGCCATTTTGGGGGTGTTGTGGGGGAACCACCAGGCCCTCCAGAGCAGTTAATATTCAGTTGGCTGGTATGTGCAGGAGGTAAGGAGGTCCCGTGTCTCTGGGTTAGGGCTTCTCCTGGGCCTCCTTTGTGTGCTCCCTCCCTGGTCCTTCCCACATCATCTCACCATCCACAGCCAGGTAACAAGACTAGATTGTGTCCATCAACGGAGCCTCAGAATCACCCAGGAGTCCCTTGCTTTTTTCTTTTCTCCTTTTTAATCTCATAGCCTCCTGGGTCCTGAAATTCCCCGAGTGGAGAGTGGGAGTCAGAATTAGTAACCTCCCCCAGGCGCCTTAGACACAGGCAGTGAGACCCCCCACATACTGTGGGAGCCCCAATAGTGCTCAGCCTGAGCTGTCCCTGGTTTGTTGTTGTTTTGAGACAGGGTCTCTCTACATAGCCCAGGCTAGCCTTGAACTCATGACCTTTCTGCCTTGGTCTCCCAAATGCTGGAATTATAGGTGTGCACCCCCATGCCTGGTTTAGGCTGTCCCTTCTGTACAGGATGCTTTGCTTGACACTGGACTGGGAGAGAAGTGCTGGTGTGTAGTGTGCATGCGAGCGTGTATGTGTGTGTGTGCGCGCGCGTGCGTGCGTGCGCCCAGCCCATGTGACTTTGTGACTTTGTTAGAGAAGGACGCTGTAGTTGGCTTTTAGACTCTGCGTGCTGGCGCATGGCTCCCTTGCCCAGCCTCTTGCAGCTCTCTGGACCTCTCCAGAGCTGACTGGCCTGGGCTGGGGTGGCAGTTGCTTCCAGGTTTAGGCTTCATGGCCCTGCCGTATGGGTCAGACCCCTGTTTCCACAAGAAATGACGTTGTAACAAAGCACTTTGCTTAGGTTAGCAATAAGCCCCCTTCCTCCCAGCTCCAGTCTAAGCAGAGCCAAAGAGCCTGCCAGGGCCGGGAGGGAGGAAGCTGGGCTCTGGGTGTGGGTGGTTCGTCCAGGGTAGTGTGTGGCAGGGGCTTGCAGGGGGTGGCCTGCTGTCTGAGAAGGGCCCTTAGGGGATGTGTGGAATTTTATTAGAGAGGGCATGAGGCAGCTTGGTGACAGACTTAGGGCCAGAGGAGATATAGTCTGACCACATCAGGGAACCTCTGCCCTGTGGGTCACCACCTCTGATGGCTTCCATCTACTGGCACTGAGTTTCATGCAGCCAGGGTGACTCTGTACTGCCTGCCAGGCCCAGCAGAGAAGACAGCCACTGATAGTTGTCACTTCTGCAGGGACCATGGTTCTGGGCAGTGTTGACTCCGGGCAGTGCTGGGGATGGGGAGGGAAGGCAAAGGGAGCCCATCTCCCCCGCGAGACTGTGGGAGTTGGCCCTATCTCCAAGGGCCAGCAGCGCCTACTGCTGGAGCTGCCATCTCTTCTGACTGGCTTCTCTGCAGGTATTGTCCAGGGCAACCAGGCAATACCTGCATTGTGCTAGCTGTTAGGTATTTTGTGTGTTAGGGAGAAACTAAAGTCCAGAGAGATTGAGGCACTTGCCTAAGTCCACACAGCTGGGGAGTGGTGAAATGAGAAATTGAAACCCAGACTCTAGCTGTGTCCTTGTCTTGGAGAGGGCACATCTCTCCAATAAGCTTTTATTGAATTCCTACTGACCACGTGATCACAACTCACTAGACACTGGGGCATGAGCCAGCCCTCAATTCTAGCCTCATAGAACCACCCCTCGTCATTTGGAGGTGAGAGCTGCAGAGGCCACTGAGTGACTTTGGGTGTGTTCCAACATCCACTTCTTTGCTCATATAAACAGGTACATGCCCGGTTTTGCCTACATATGAGCACATCAGCTCTGGCGAGCCCACAGCCTCGCATAGGTGGCTAATTCATGCTTCTCCCCGAAGGCCCTGATTCCCAACCCCCAGAAAGACTGGGTGTGTGCCAGGGGTCCAGGCACAGTAGTGACTGTCACTACTGCTATGCCCTTTTAGAATGTCACTCAGAGACCTGAAGGGGGGAAATTGTGTGTCCAGTTCTATACTTAGTAAATTGCTGATTTTCTTCTCTGCTTCTCCCCTTTGCCGCCCCCCCCCCCCCCCCGGCAGTATTGGGGGTTGAATCAGGGCCTTGCACTTACTAGGCGGCCACTCTACCATTAGAGCCATACCGCCAACTCTTTTTTCATTGATTATTTTAAAGATAGGGTCTCACTTTAAGCCTGTACCGTGATCCTCCTATTTGTGCAGGGATAACAGGCATGAACCACCATGCTCAGCCATTGGTTGAGATGGGGATCTCGAAAACTTTTTGTCTGGGCTCATCTTGAACCACAGTCCTCCTGATCTCTGCCTCCCAAGAGCTAGGATTACAGGTTTGAGCAACTCCACCTGGCCCCTCCCTTCTCTTTCATCCTTGCTTTGCTCACCTTCTCATGGAGGCCCGCAGCATGATTGAGATCATGGACAGTGAAGTTAGAACCTGAGTTCAAATTCTTCTCTGTCGCTTACTAGTTCTAGGACCTTGGGAGGGCAACCTGTTATCCTTATGCCTTAGATTCCTGGTCCACACAATGGCCACAGGAAGGAGACCTTCTTTGTCTGGTTGTTAGGAGGTCTTGCTGAGATAACACACTTGTCTTAGGTTCAGTCACCAGAGCAGAGCCTGAGCAGGGATTCTTGTGCCCTGTGATTAAGAGGGGAGGGCTTTCAGAGGAAGAGGGTAGGGTAGCAGGACAGGAGAAGGAGAGGGACCTGGCAGGGGCCAAATGATCACAGCTGGAGTCAACTTCAGCCTAGCCCCAAGGGGCTTGGGACCAGGAATTGTACCAGAGTTTGTCTCACCTTGAGGCCAGGGGCTAGCCTCTTAGCTGGAGAGTCCTTTTCAGCCAGTACAGCTGTCACTGGGGACAGGTACCCTGTTGATAACAGGGGGGCTCCTGTCCCCCACCGAAGCCTATAGAACTGCAGCACCTGTGCACACGTAGTGTGTCAGGATGTCCATTGCAGCCAAAATTCATTTCCTGAGGCAGCTGTGCTGCATCCAGAGGCCATGGCTCTGGACATAGCAAAGTTATCTGCATCACAGATGTAGGAGTGCACAGGGGTGTGTGTAGCTTCGTGCACACGCACCCATGTGAGTGGAAAGACAGCAAGTGCACATTCAGAACAGTGCTATATTGTTAGAATGGGTTGAATTTGTGTTCAGAGAGCACAGAGGGGAGGAGGAGGAGGGGCCTAAACCAACCCCAGGGAATCAGAGAGCTCTTCCCAGAGTGGCAGATCTCAGCTTGAAGGACAGAGAGACATCTCCCAGGTCAGGAGGACTGGAAAAATAACCTAGGCAGTGAGGCAATTTTGTGCCAAAGACTTCGGTCCTCTGTCTTCTAGGTTCTGTCTTCAGAACCCACATCTGCTCCACATCTGCCCCATCCAGCAATGGGGAAAGCCTACAGCCAGTCCACCCTGGCCCAATGCCTCCACCTGCAGACTTGAGTATGCCACACTGAGGAAGGAGGTGGAGGAGGGGAAGGAGGGCCAGGAATCTCCTTTCCCTGACCTCTCCCAACCCCTAAAGGGAGAAAGCCCCATCAGTGGAGCCCCAGCAGAAAGAGGACAAATGTTTGCAGGGTGGGCCTGGCATCAGGTGTGGTGGAGTGGGTGGCTGTGCTGATGGCGGTCTTGCCTTCCCCCTTCCAGGTTACATCGATACCCTATGACCCAAAAACTGGAAGCATGTGCCAGCTGAGAGAGTACTACGACAAGACGGTGCAGAAGTGCTGTGGCATGTGTCCACCTGGTGAGGAGCAGCCACCGGGGCCCTGACCCTTGGGCGGGTGGCAGCTCTGCAGGGAGCCTGTGCGTTCAGCAATGGCACTGTTGAGCTGTGGCCCTCCATTCTCTCTGAACTCCTTCTGGTGCCATGCATTTGAAGGCCTGGGTCCCTCTTGCTTTTGGGCTTTTGCATATGCTGCCCTCTCTGCATGACACACCATCTGACTCCCTCTACCTGGTTAAATCCTACCTATCCTTTAGACTTCCACTTACCTGTCCCCTCCTCCAGGAAGCCTACCCCTCACACTGCCCATCTGGGTCACTTGTCTCCCTCTAGCTCTCACTGGCCCCTGGCATCCCATGGGACAGCTCTTTTTCGCACCTCCATATGTGCAATTGCAGTCTGGTGTCTCTCTTAGCCTCACTGTGTGCTCTTCCAGGGCAAGGACTGTGCCTGGGTCTCCAATGAATTCCCAGCGTACAACACACATCTGGCCCATAGTAGGTGCTCACTGCATTATTTGACTGTACCAACAATTGAGCACCATACCCGTTTCACAGATGGTAGACCTGAGCCCTAACCCCAGTGGGGAGAGCCAGTGCCGTCCATCCAGCATGCTCCTACGTACACTCAGGTAGCATTTCTAAAGCATCTGCTGTGTGTTGTGGTGCTGGAATGCAACAGAGCTCAGGGCACACAAAATCCTTCCCTTCGTGAAGGACACAGGCAGATTCTCTAGTAGATGCGTGATCTAGTGCTGGGAAGAAGATAAGGTGATGGGATCGCTGTTTTATGTGGGCTGGTCTAGGAAGGGCTCCCTAGGAGGTGACATTTAGATCGAGCCTGGCAGGAAGGAAGGGAGCCAATTGTACAAATATACAGGGAACAGCATGCCAGGTGGAAGCAATAAGCGCAAAGGCTCTGAGGTTAGGGTTAGCTCGAGGAATGGCAGGGCCGGTGTGTGTGGCCCAGAGTGAGTAAAGGGGAGTACAGAGGGTCAGGATAAAGAGGTAAGCGGGCACCATGCAAGGAGTTTAGGTTTTATTCTGTGAGCGGCTGGAAGCCGCTGGACGCTTTGAGGCAGTAGCTTGAGAAGGTAGAAGCGTGTGTGGGCATTGCTTCCAATAGTCATTTTGAGAGATCCCAGGGAAAGTTATTCTTCTTTCTTCTGCTAACTGGCTGGGTCCTTTAAGAAGTTACAGATCAGCATGGCAATGAACTCAGGACAGTGGGAACAGAAAGAGTAAATGCCTTACAGGTTTGCCTTGCTTTCCCATCCTCTGCCCTGCTTCTCTCCGTGCCTTCAGGAGCCCCATTCCCTTGTCCTGATATCCTGTCAAGGGCTAGGCCACCAGGGACTACATTCTTACTGCCTTCTTTTCCCTGTAGTTCACACTTCTAGGTGGAGAATTTTAGCCAATTATCAAGAAGAAAGTAGCTGGCAGACCAGTTTTTACTAAAGTGTGATTGACTGCTACCAGTTTTCCAGCAGTGTACTTTAGGCACCTGGAAAGAGCAGGGAGTAAGCTACTTTACGAAGACAGTGGTCTCAGAGTGATTGCTGGTGCCTGCCCTGTGTGGGAAATCGATTCAGCTGTTAGAACTGGGTTAAAAGAACCATCCAAGCTGAGCTTCTGAACTCTGGGAGTCCGGGGAACAGTGGATGAACTCAGGGTCATGGGAGGAGCCCCACCCCCAGCTGAGACCTGTGTCACTTGCTTTTTAGGCCAGCGTGTGAAACACTTCTGCACCAAGACCACAGACACCGTGTGTGCCGACTGTGAGGACAGCACCTATACCCAGCTCTGGAACTGGGTCTCCAAGTGCCTGGGCTGTGGTTCCCGCTGTAGCTCCAGTGAGTGGCCCAAAGAGAGGTGGCACTCAGGCATCCCCCTGGCTACTATGCACTCCAGTCCCTTGGCTTGCAAGCTGACCAGGATTACCCCAGGCCTGTTGTTTTGATCTCCCAGGGCCAGAGGTGCATGGGAACAGTTCTTTACCTCTTAGGAATGGCATTTGCCTTCTGGATCCCATCAAGTCTTTGCTGTCATCCCACAGGGCAGGCAGCTCATGGACAGTTGGGGAGAGCTGTGTCCATGTCAGAGTTGAGGAAGTGATGCATTGTAGAGCAGACGTGTGTGTGCTCCTTCTGTGCCAGGGCTGGTGGAACATATAGGCAGCAGACCCTGTGGCTCCGTGTTGAGGGGGTCCACCAGCCTCTGGGAGATCAGAGCTCTGTGGGTGCTGGGCTGGCCAGGGTGGGGGGTAGGGCAATGGGCATGTGGTATCAGGAATGACCCTGGCTGCCCTCTCACTTCTCCAGACCAGGTGGAAACACAAGTTTGCACTCGGGAGCGGAACCGCGTGTGTGCATGCAGGCAGGGCTGGTACTGTATGCTGAGGAAGCAGGATGGCTGCCGGTTGTGCATGCCACTCAGCAGGTGCCGCCCTGGCTTCGGAGTGGCCAGATTAGGTATGGAACCCCTTGGGCCTCTGCTGCGTGGACATTGACCCATCACCCCAGCCCTGGAATGTCACCAGTGGTGGCCAGGTGCATCTTTCCACCTTTCCAACATTCATTCACTCATCCAGATCTTCTAATTTGGCACCTATGGTGCACTAGGGCCTGGGGGTCTAGACATGGATCAGACTAAGCCCCAAGTTGCTGGAAAACGAGGAGATGGTGCAGGAGGGTGACCCCAACATCCTGGAGACCAGTTCTGCACGTACTTGTGCATATGTGTTTGTGGGTGAACATGTGTCTGCGTGCATGTGCTAAGGGATTAGAGGTACAAGTGGAGGTGCCAAGACCCCACTCTGCAATGGAGTATTGGAGTTGTTGACAAGCTCCAGTTTTTCCCTTGTAGGAACTGTGAACTCTGATGTGGTGTGTGCCCCGTGTGCTCCTGGAACATTCTCCAACACCACTTCATCCACAGATGCATGCAGCCCCCACCGCACGTGAGTACTGAGTCCCTCTGTTCAGAGGGGGAAGGAGCAGAGGGCCACCATTGCCAAAGCTGCTTGGGGAGTGGGGGCAGGGAGTGTCCCAGGACAAAGGGTGGGTACAGCGATCAGGGACCTTGCCCTGGAAGTGGACACCTTACAGTACACAGGGAGAGGTGGCTGGGGACCGGGGTTGGGGTGTTCCTGAGAGGGGGCACAGCACATATATCCATTCCCCATCCTGGCTCCTGGCTGCCAGGTCCTTTCCATGCTGGTCCCGTGCCCATTAATGAGCCCAGCCATGATCCACTCTATTGCCTTCTGACCAAGTTTTTTCTTTCCCCAGCTGTGATGTGGTAGCCATTCCAGGCAATTCAAGTATGGATGCGGTCTGCATGTCTGTGTCCGCCACCCTGCACACAGTCTCAGGGACAGCTCACACACCCCAGACAGTGTCCACGAGATCCCAGCCAGTGGAGACAACGTTAGAGCCCAGTCCAGCTCTAAGCACTTCCCTGACATTCTCAGAGAGCTCCAGGCCCCCAGTTGGAGGGATCAGAGTGGGCATGGGTCTTCCCATCGGTAAGTCAGAGGGCTTCTCCCTCCCTCTCCCCCTCCCTCCCTTGCCTTTTCTCTCCTTCCCTTTTCTCTCTCATTTCCTTCCTCTCTCCCTTCCTTCCTCTTTCTCTCTTTTCCTTCTTCTTTCCTTTCCTTCCTCCCTCCCTCCTTCCCTCTCTCTCTCTCTTTTTCTCTCTGTCTTACTCAGAGCCCACTTTGGGTCAGATTGTGTGTTTTGTCCTGGGATACTGGTGGCAGTGGACAGGTCTCCTCCTAAGACCTGATGCTGTCACCAAGAATTCCTGGGTAGGGTGAAATAGGGTCAACCACCTGAATGTAGAAGTAACTGACTTCCTTCCTTCCTTTTTGCAGTACTGGGATTTGAACTCAGGGCCCACACCTTGAACCACTTCACCAACCCTTTTTTTGTGATGGGGTTTTTTGAGATAGGGTTTCAAGAACTATTTGCTCAGGCTGGCTTCAAATCACTATCCTCCTGATCTCTGCCTCCTGAGTAGCTAGAATTATAAGCTTGAGCCACCAGCACCCAGCGACTTGCTGTTTCTGATGAGCCCATCTGACTAACAAGACCATGGGCTGGACATGGTCGACTCCCCAGCTTCCCTTCTTCATTGGGACTGTTACCAGCCAGGGGCCTCACACTGGTGGCCCTCAGGCTGAATGAAGACACAGACATGTTTGGTTTATCACTGAATCTGAGAACCTCTGGCCTAGACTCACTCCTCCCCTACAATAACCTCAGCCACCTTGGTACCCACTGGCCCCTGGGAGTTCTGAGCGCCTCCCTTCTCCCTAGGACTGATTGTGGGAGTGACGTCCCTGAGTCTGCTGGTGGTGGGACTGGTATACTGTGTCTTCGTGAGCCAGAAGAAAAGTAAGTTTCCATTTCTTCCTTGCTTCCTTCATCCTCTGGTCCAGCGAGGTTTTTTTTTTTTTTGGGTGGAGGGGGTACCTCTGGGCCTTGACCTTAGCTGTATCTGGAAACCACAGTCTGCTCCAGAGAAGCTTAGAGCCTGGGACAGAAAGCACTTCTGCTAACCTGGCTGCTAAAGCCAAGGTGCAGTCAGGTTATCCCATCCAGAAAGCCATGGGCAGATGGCCTGGGAGCTGGGTCAGATTCTATGGGTGGAGTGTGTATAGGACAGAGAGAGCACCCCGAGGGAGCGTAGGACAAGGGCAAAGGCTGGCCTGGCAGATGACCTGGGGCTGAGGGGAGTGTAACTGTGCCATGGGCTGGAGAGCCACATGCACTCTTCTGTGGGTCTTGTCTGGTGGGAATAGCTCCCTAGGGCTGGACCCACACCCCTGGATCTGCTCCAGCCTACCCTGTTTTCCTACTTAGAATGGACAGGCCAAGTAAGTCACACTTCCTGACCTGCCCTCTTTCTCCTCTTTGTAGAGAAGTCCTCCTGCCTGCAGAGAGAAGTCAAGGAGGTGAGTGTCCCTTTGTGCTCATGGTCCTCCTCCCCTGATTCCCTTCCTGGGTCAGGTTGTCAGACAAGAAACAGTGCACTCTGTCAGTTTGTCCAGAGTCCAGAGGTGTGCCAAGCCCTCGGTGGCCCAGTGCCTGAGGTTTCCATGGGGCTTCTAAGATCAGATAGAGTGATTTCATCTCCTGATTTTGTTGAAATGCAGAGAGGGATAGTGACTTGCTCAAGGGCACACAGCACTGTGTCTCGGGACTTCCAGTTCCCGGTGCTCTCTGCCCACCCTATAGTATTTCAGTGGGGACAAAGCAGTTTTCCATTCCCCCACTTATCCCTTCCCCATCTTTAGTTTAATCATGCTACCGGTGGCATGCCAAGCAAGTGTCCCCTCCAAGCTCCCTGGCCCCTGCAGCCCAGCTGCCACCTGCTCTTCCCCAACCAAGTGCTTCCCTGTCTCTCTGTACTGAGATGTCCTGGGTGCGGCCCAGCGGCCCCTGCTTCCTCTTCTTTTTGCTGAGTTTGCTTTCACACAATGGGTGTATTGAGAGCCATGCGCAGAGCCCGGTGGGGAGCTGGTAACTGGCTCTCTCGGGGGAGGAAACCCCAACCCTGATTTGCACTGTGTGCTCATTCCTACGGTGCAAACACTCTGCTGTAGCCGACATCTTGCAGCCAAGGCTTCCTGAGCACGGGGTTGGAAAGAGACGTGTGGGTCTGTACTGGTGCCAACTCACCCTGGCCCAAACCTGAGCCAGGCTCTTCACAGGTGAAGGGAGGGGGTCCCCAGACTCCCCACCGTACAGATGAGGAAACTAAAGTGTGGGAGACATAGTCACTCCTGTCAGGTTAGAAGTTTAGATCTGTGGTGTAGCTCAGGTCTGAAATAGTCCTGTCGGTGGGTTCTGCCAGAATTGCCAAAGCTGGTCCAGTCTCACCCCTTCCCAGCAGGGCCTGCCTTCTGAGGTTGGTCACCTCCCTGGAGTCATTCAGTCCTCAGCCCCCACCCCTTGTCCATCCTGTGCCCCACTCTGCTCAGCCCTCAGCTGAGCTGGTAGCCCAGCAGGTGAGGCTCCAAATGAGGCAGCTGGGTAGGACCAGCGGTGACCTAGTAGCCCCTGCTCCCGGGGCAGAGGATGGTGGCTCCCTGTCTAGCATATGCACACGCGTGAGCTCACCCACCACCCCAGGCCTGCTCATTCATGGCTCATGGTTAGTAAACAGTGCCAGCATTTGTTGGGTACTGAATGGATGCCAGCTGTGCTGGGCATTGTTTATACTCCTGGTCTCGCTGTGATACACAGCCCTTAAGATTATTCACCCAATTTCACAGCCCTGGACCCTTGACCCAGAGAAGATAAGTAACTTTCCTAAGGTGGTACAGCTGATGGGAGGGACCTGGGACACAAACCTAGGAGTGTGTGTCCTCACCACCCCCCCAACTGTGTCACTGTCATGGCCCTGTGCTCATAGACATGCATGTGTACACGCTACACACACCCTCAGCCTGAGGACACACGCTCCTGCACACAGACCCAAAGGAGCCAGCCAGCGGCTCTGCCTGGGTCTCTGCTCTGCACAGGAGCTGGGTAGGGAGCTGAGTGGGGTGGGCTGGCTGGACACCTGTGTTTGAATGAGACTGCTCAGTGCTTCCCTCCTGAGGCCCCAGCCTGAGGAACAGGACTCTGGTAGCCTCTGTACTTGAACTTTGCAACTTGTGGCTTTGACCAGGGAGGCATGCTGTGACCTTTGGGGGTTTCTGTTCTGCCTGACTATACCTCCAGTAAAGCTCCATCTCTAGAGTTTGTGACGTGTGACATTTGGATGCTCCTTCTTGCCCTCTATGCTGGGAGCAAGTCTGCAGGTGGGGTGGGACTAGACAGTGGCCAAGGTCAGACAGTGAACCTGGAATGCCCTCCATCCATCCTAGAATGGGAACCAGGCCAGCCAGTGAGGCCTCCTAGGGAAGCAAGAGGATGCCACAGGCTGCCTTCAGCTCTGGCATACTGATCCCGGCTCATTTTGCCCTGGCCATGTGTGATTCTGTTCACAGGATTCTGGGTTCTCTGGGCTTCTGTGACCTCGTGGGGACAACTTGCATAGGATCCTTCCAGCCAGAGTCAGAGGCCATGGTCTGGGCAGGCTTCAAGGAAGCAAGTGGGGACATGCTGTGGGATGTGTCTGGGAAGCCATTGTGCCAGTGGGCAATCCTCTGACCCTCCCACCTGCATCCATCTGCCCAGCTATTCACTTACCATTGTAGACCCAGTCTCACCCTGGCAGGCCCAGGGCCAGGGCAGCTGGTGAGAACACGGCCCCTGCAATCTCCTTTTCTGCAGTTCAGTGATCACCCAGAACTCTGAGGCAAGACCCTCAGTATCTGTCCAGTCAGGGATAGGCAACAGCATTTAGAGTGGAATTTATAGATATCCCCAGCACAGGTGCCTAGAAATGGGATCCTCGTCAGCTTCTGGACCTGAACCGTGAGACACACAGAAAAAGCCCCATAGGTTTGAGCCCAGCTGTACCATATCCTAAGCGTGACCTTGGTCAAGTCATTTAACCATTCCAGGCCTCAGTTTCCACTTCTGCAGAATAAGGATAACACTGGGCTGGTGGAAGAATCAGTATAGATAATGCCTTGGATATCCATGGATATCCATCAGTATAGATAGTGCCTTGGAGATATCACGCCAACCCTTGGCACCATAACAGAGAGGTTATGCAACTTGTCCAAGGTCACACAGAAAGTGAGTAGTGGAGTCATGATTTCCACTTGTGGTCTGGATCCCAAATCCACATCTTCCTGTGTCAGTGGGTGGCCTTAGGAAAGTCGCTTTTTTTTTCCTAAGTCCTTATGAAGAATGAGAATTAAACCCTGCCCCACCTCTAAGCCTGCTTGGTGAGCAAGGCCACTGGCCCCGGTATTTATAAGGCTCACACTTGAGTAGGGCAGCTAGGTGCTGATAGCAGAGTCACAGAACCACGGAGAATCGCACCTCCTAAAAGTGCTGTGTGTGGAAAGAACGTGCTGTGTGGGCGGTGTAAACTGTGAAGTGCTGAGTGGCAGGCGGGGAGAGGAGCTCACTGGGGGGCTGACTGCTCTTCGTCCTCCTCCTCCTCCCAGCCTCACTTGCCTGCCGAGAAGGAGCAGCAGCACCTGCTGACCACAGCACCCAGTTCCAGCAGCAGCTCCCTGGAGAGCTCAGCCAGCACCGGGGACAGGAGGGTGCCCCCCAGGCATCAGACACAGGCACCCACCACGGGGAAGGACAGAGGGTCCGGGGAGGCCGGGGCCAGCTCCAGGAGCTCAGGTAAGGGGCAGAGAGTACATCTGCTTTAATCCCTTTCGTAAAATGCTCCCAGGTCTGGGATGGCATCCTCATCTCAATAAACCCATTGTACGTTAAAAAAAATACCTACCTGACCTATGGTCCACCGTGGCTCGGCAGCACAGCCTGCTGTAGGGTGTGGAAGTTTTCCCTATTGGCCACGTGGCTGGATGGGAGCTGTGGCTCCCCACTGCTGCCCAGCAGGACAGTAGGGGACCCCATGGCATGTCACTAGCCCTGGAAAAGAGCCAACTTCCCCATTCTAAGTACAGTTTGTGCTGAATGTGTATCACTTTTGTATCAATGTCAGGTTGAAAATCTTAAATCATTGTAAGTTGGGGCTACATGCCCCTCCTGCCTGATCTCTTGTTTTAGTCACACCTCCTGGACTTCCAGCTGGGCAGGGGTGGGCATTTGAAGCCCTCAGGGTCTGGCCTTAACTCCCTCCTGGCCTGCCTCCTCCTCCCTGTTACGGAACCACCCGAAACTGCTCCTCCCCTTCCTTCTCCTCCTCTTCTTTTCCTTTCTTCCTCTTTCTTCTTTTTACAGTACTGGGGTTTGAACTCAGGGTCTTGTGCTTGTTAGGCAGGTGCTCTACCACTTGAGCCACCCACCAGCCCCACCTGAAACTTCCGAACCCTGAACCCACCACGTTCCTCCCACCTTCATGCATGTTGGACCTTTCACCTGGCACTCCCTTCCTTCTCCAACCTGTGTTTCGAGCCTCTAATATCTAAGCAGGGAATTTTCTGAAACCCTCTGCCTGCTGTCACCCCTGGCTGGGTTCACTGCTCCTCAGGGCTCCCCAGCCCCTGCCTCCCTTCCACAGGAAGCTGTGGGACTCCTGGGAAGCCAGGATCATCCTGAGTTTCCCTAAAATCCACAACCCTGGCACCGTGGCTGACAGTCACAATAACAACTTATTCTTACCACAGGGCTGTGGTGTGTCAGACATGGTACTGTACTGGGCACTTCACTTGCATAAAATTAACATGCCCTCCCATGGTAAGAGAGTTACCATTGTTATCCCCATTTTACAGATGAGGAAACTGAGACCCAGAGAGGTTGAATAGCTTATTGAGGGGCACACAGCTAATATACAGAAGAGCCAGGAACCACCCCTGTACTGTGGAGCTCCAGAGCCCCAGGGTTGGAAGATGAAGAAAGAAATGTCTGTGGGACTTTGCTCGCTGGTGCTCAAAACGGGTCCCTTTGGACTGGAAGCACCAGCATTGTAGGAACCCTGTTCTGTTTACTCAGTCTGCATCTTGCCCTGGACCTGGGCTAATGGAGGTGTCACCCCCTAATTGGCATTTCCAGTGCCTATCTTGAACGGGGATCCTGGAAAGGGTCCTCCAGAACCCTGGGGTTTCCTAGAGTTTGTTTTGTAGTTGAGAGATCAAGTTCACTGGCCTATATCTCTCCCTCTAACCTGGAAGCACCAGCCAATGGGATGACAGGGAACGACCATAACTATGAGAGCTTGGGTCATTCCCAGATCCTTTCCAGCTGCTCTGGTGCCATGAGAATGTGAGCAGCCTTCTTCTCCCCACCAAGCCTCAATTTCCTCATCTGGAGCCATGGCACCTCCTTGGCAAGGCTGGTGAGACCCAAGTGGCACTGTGCCCAGGTTGGCACCTGCCAGGGACCAGTCTCCCTCTGGGCCACCTCCAGGTGGGGATTGCCAACTGCCAACTGCAGCACCTTCACCCTCCCACGTTTTGCTGCCCTCCTGGCGGCTATGCCCTGCAGCTTGCCTGTGTCCACGCCATCTCTCTACTTGCAGCACCCAGATCACCTGACTGTCTGCATGAGCTGACACTACCCACTTGTGTTTCCCTTTGAGTTCGCACCTCTTCAGGGTAATGTCTTGTTTTTGCCCCACACTCCAGCGTGAGAACTCCCCAGCAGGGGTCCTGGGCCGGTGAGTGGAACAGAGCAGGTGGCCCTAGTCATTTATTGCTTGAACAAAAATGTGACCAAATAGAAACTCTTGTATTCATCGCTACACTTCTTCCAGGGTGTCCTGTGGCATTCTCCTTGGCTCCAGGGTAGCCCTCTGGCTGCCTGCCTGTCCCCTTTCCTCTCTGCTCCTTGTCTCAGGTGCTCCCCACTGGCTCCTTGGCCTCTGCCTTCCTCTGCTCTCCCCTTCTCCCCTCCCACCCTGACACCTCTCCACTGTGGGAACGTGTCAACCCCAGAGCTGTGTCCCATCTGCCCCCACAGAGTCTCATTCATGATGTGCAAAGGCCATGGTACCTTTGGGTGACATTTGGGGGCGATGGAGGCCATTTGGGGCTTACTCTGAGCAGAGCGGTTGGCCAGCTCCATTCTCCCCCAGGCCCCCACCTGAGTTCTGGGAGGGAGTCAGGAGCTGGCTGAACAACAGGCAGTCCCTGGGATTGGCTCCAGCAGGTCACTACAGCAGCCATATCAACAGCTGTCATTGAGGGGCTATTGTGTGTGCCAAGCCCCTTACATTCATCAGCTAATCCATCATCGACCCTCTCCAACTAGTTAGGAAGCTCAGATGCCAGCAGGGGCTGGGTAGGAAAGTGGGCGAGCCCACCCCTGAAGTGTCTGCCAGCTGTAGGTGGCCTGCCATGGCCAGGTTAATGACATCTGCTCCCAAGGGAGGCAGTGCTGGGACTCAAACCCTGGGCCTCAGATATGTTAGGCGACGGCTCTACCACCGAGCCCAGTACTGGGTTTTTAAAACAAACAAGTGAATTTTAAGCGTTGGTAGTCAGTTCACTTAAAACACTATCATTGCCAAAAACAAAACACACCCCGAGCTGGTTTTTATCCATTCAGTACTTATCTCTGTTATAGGCATATAGTGCTTGTCTGGGCTTAGGGTCTGGGGGTGGGGGAGGAACCCAGAGAGTGATAGACAGGGCAGGAGGCAAATGTGAGGGAGGCCAGGGAGGCTTCTCAGAGGAAGTCACTTTTGAGTTAGGACTGAGTCACGGGAGGGAGAGAGCTATGCAAATAGGGAGGAGCTTTCCAGATGGAGGGAGCAGGATATTCAAAGGCCCTGAGGTGTGAAGGGTTGAAGGAGGGGCGGGCAGCTGAGTGTGGCTAGAAAGAACCCCAGGTGAGATCTTGGAGGTGCAGAAAGGTAGAGAGGACAGGTGTCAGGTCACACAGGATTCTGAGGACTGTCATTTATTGAGCAGCCAAGGCAACAACTGACCATGTTTGTAAGAGCCAGCTCTAGCTGCTGGAGGAGAGCAGTCTGCAGAGGGTGGGGTCAGAACCAGAAGCCAGGTGGAGGCTGTTCACACTGGCCCAGAGGGTTGTGGGTGAACACCTTGCATGAGCAGTCTCGAGACAGGTGGGGGAATTCATGTTATCTTTTGAAAGTAGTCCAGGCAAGAATCACTGATACAACGGGAGCGAGGGTGGGGGTAGAGGGGGCGGGTATATGAGGTGGAGATGGTCCAAGGCGCTGGGTCTGAGCAACTTGTTGGAATCGAGCCATGCAAGCTGAGGTGGGCAGGAGCGGGTTGGATGGGAGGTGAAGGTGAAGTCCAAGGTGTCCGTCAACATCAAGTGCAGGTGCCACGGGAAGATGGATAGACGGAGCCTCGTTCACCCCTGGTTCACTGAGAGTCACTGCCTCAGGAGCTGCATAGATACAGTGCCTGCCAAGAGATAAAGTGTCCTTATACCCATTTTACAGCAAGCAAGCTGAGGCACTGGGAGGTTAGGTGACTCGGCCAAGATTGTGGAAGCAGAGCAGGGTTTCCAATACAGATTTATCAGGCTGTAAACAGTAGGCATCCCAACCTGCCCCCATGCTGGAACCCCAAATTTATGAAATCCTAGAGGCACTGCATGTAGAAAAAGGATTATCTGAGAAGCAAAGACTTCAGGGGCAACGATTAAGGTAATGCACCCATGACAGAGGGTTCTTATCTTGTAGTTGGTGTGACCAGGACCTCAGAGGCCATCTAGCAGGTTATTGCCAGTGGGTGGCCAGTGTCTGTGACTGCTTCCTGCTCACCTCTTGGGTCCTCTGTAGGGCATAGGTTTTGTCCTTCCTGGAGCACTTTCATCTGCTTTAGCTAACTGGCTCTTCCTAACTTTTGGTCTTGGACTGTAGTCCTCCTGCCTTTGTCTTCCGAGTAGCTGGGATTACAGGCATGTGCCATTACACCTGGTCCTCCCACATGTCTTAATCTGCCTCTGGGCAGGAGGCAGATTTCAATACCCCTGGACTGATGCCCCCTCTCATCTTTCCTTTACAGAATCCTCCCCTGGCAGCCATGGGACCCAGGTCAATGTCACTTGCATCGTGAATGTCTGTAGCAGCTCTGACCATGGCTCACAGTGCTCCTCCCAAGCCAGTACCACCATGGGGGACTCAGATGCCAGCCCCTCAGGCTCCTCAGAAGATGAGCAGGTCCCCTTCTCCAAGGAGGAGTGCCCCTTTCAGTCACAGTTGGAGACCCCAGAGACTCTGCTGCAGAGCCTGGAAGAGAAGCCCGTGCCCCTTGGTGTACCTGAAGCCGGCATGAAGCTCAGTTAACCAGGCCATCGAGGCTGTCACAGACAGGGTGGAATGACCCTGCAAAAGGGGGTCTCCAGACCTTCTAGACCTCCACTCCCCAGAACTCTGTGTGACTTTCTGGGCCAACTTCCTTTAGCAGCCTCCACAGCCCCAGCCTCCCTCTCACCTGCAGGTTGAGCGAGGGACAGGACAGCCAGAGTGGCAGAAAACCATTGCAGGTCTGGCCTTCTCAGAAGGCCAGCTGGGCATAGGTATGCAGAGCACCTGGGCAAGTCCTTGCCCTCTGTGACCTGCTCCCAACTGGACCTGAAAGCTGGGCTTCCAGAGCCCCTTCTGGTCATTTTTCTCTGGCTTCCAGGGCTCCTTCCCCAACCCTCTCCACCCGAGGGGCTTACTGGGAAGGAGGGACTCTGTGTGAGTCATTCAAGGAGAAAGGATAATGCTGGACCTTGAATGCTGAGACCCTAGGATGGTCCCCATGGGGGCTATCAATCAGAGGGTTCTATGTGGGAAAGAAGAGGTGGCAGCCCTGTAGGGGACAGGCCCCTCAGGTTAGCTCAGGACTGTTGGAAAGAATCCACTTTTTCCTGCTTGTTCTTTTTGTACCTTGGTGTGAAAATCAGACTCCCAGAGGGCCCTGGCAGGCAATTTTGCTCAGTGCTGCAGCCTGGCAGGATGGCAGACCTCAAACTGGGGTGTGGCTCTGTGGCAGAGGGCCATGGTTAGCATGCTGGAGGCTTGGGTCCCATCCTCAGCACCACAAGAAAAAAACAAAAGCAAGTACCATTCAGGCAAACAAGACAACAAAACCAGCTCCTGAGTGCCACTGGTAGCCTCGGCCTTTGAGCTTCACTCCAGTGTACCCAGGCTTCAGCCCTCCTCCCTTGCTGTCTGATGAACTATTTCAAAGCCACACCTTTTCCTGTCAGGGAATTTCAGGAACTGGAGAGGTCCAAGGTCCCTGCAGCCATCTCTCTCCACCTACCTCAGTCTGGACCTTTCTTCAGCTTCTGGAGGGGTGTGTTCCCTCCCACTCCCCAACTCCCTGATCCCAGGGTCGCTGGGGAACCACTTTGGTACTGTGTGCACTGTGATGCAGAGAGGCTGAGAAGCTGAGAGCCAGTTGTGTGTCTGTGTTGTGTGTTGTGAGTTTGTACTGTCCATGCTGTCAAGCTGAGTGGCCCGTCCTGAAGCAGCTGAAGCCAGCAGTTTTGCTAGGAAATGCTTCCCCATTAGAGAGTCAACCTACTCCCTCCAACACACGCCCAGATCTGGAAAGAAGAGGGTTGGGAGTCTCCATGAGAGGCCAGTTCAGTCTCTTGGATCCCTTGTCCATACATTCCACTGGACTTGAACTTGGCAGCTGAACTACTGAGGGTAGGAGAGCCTTCCTGTCACCATGAGGACAAGAAGGGTTTCCACCAGGGTATCAAAATGTGACACTGCCTGGACTGGACTGGACAAGTCTCTGCCCATTACACCCCTGTGCAGCGATGGAGCATGTCTGCCCCCTGGTGGAAGGTTCTGGGAGGACCTTCAGTTTCCTGGCATCACTGAGCAGAGCAAGGGAGGACTCAGAGTTGGAAGGACTCCTTCTGGTGTGGCCCCAGTTTCCCCTGCTTGTGCTGATCCTAAGACAATGAGAGTTTGCACTGTGTGTTGGACAGCGTCCCTGCATATAAATAAACATTTTGTTATACACGTTGACCCCTCTGGCTGGGGTCTGGGTTGGGAGTTTGCCAATGGTCCTGCTGGCCTTCCACCAATGTATGGGGACAGATGGGGTTGTGGCCAGTGCAGTCCAGCAGGCCCACGGTGTGACCAGCCCAGAGGCCTCCCAGTTACAGTCGCCCTTGCTGAGAGCCTGGCCTCCCCTCCGGCCTGTGAACAAGACAGAACTTCCGGCCAGGACCAGCCTGCTAGCCCCCAAATGGATCCCATCTCCTGCTCTGCCCTAGGTCTGGTCGCCTCAGCTTGCTCTGGGTTGGGGTGAGGTCTTGGCAGATCTGCCCTGTATGAGCAGCCTCTCAAGAGCAAGGCTCTGCCCTCCCAGAGCCTCCCAATCTGAGTGGATTGCCATGAAGCCCATCCCTGGATGCTCTGATCAGCAGGGGGCTCTGGGAGGACAGAGGAGGGCTGTGGAGACTGTGGAGTCAGGAGGGTTCTAGTGATGACCTCCGACATAGTCCTGAAGGATGAGCTATTTTCCAGAACAAAGGGTGGGGAGGTGGGGAAGAGGTTGGAGGTTTTTGAGACAGGGTCTCACTATATGGCCTAGCTTGGTCTTGAATTCACTCTGTAGACCAGGCTGGCCTTGAACTCTTCATCCTTCTGCCTCAGCCTCCTGAGTGTTGAGATTACAGGTGTGTACCACCACACCTGGCTAGAGTTTGTTTTGTTTTTTTTAATGACAAGAAGTTAATTTTATTTTTATCATCAACATTGCTTTTTTACATTTTATTTTTAACTAATAGGTTATTATCATTACTGAGTAATAAAGGAAACTGAGGTTGAATCCCCGGATGTGCAGCTCATCCTCCTCCTGCCTTGGGGTGTTGGACTTGGCTCTGTTTACTGAAAAATGTTTATACCATCCAGGGGGTCTCCTGGAGATGGTGAAGGTTGGTGGCAGCATTGTTTTTTGTTTGTTTGCTTTTTTGGCAGTACTGGAGTTTGAACTCAGGGCCTCACATTTGCTAGGCAGGTCCTGTACCACTTGAGCCACTCTGCCAGCCCTGTTTTGTGTTAGGTATTTTCAAGACAGGGTCTCTCACACTATTTGCCCAGACTGGCTTCAAACCATGATCCTCCTGATCTTTGCCTCCCAAGTAGCTAGGATTATAGGTGTGAGCCGCTGGCACCCAGCAGATGGTGGCATTTTTTTAGAGTTAAAAAGACCTATCATTCCTACTAATTGTGATTTTTGATTAGGTTCTTCATATAGATCCTCTGCCGGTTAGAGCTGAAGTCCTGGGCCCATCTCAAATCACAGACACATTAAGTACCCCAGGAATCTCTTGGCTCCTTACTAGTGAGCAGTTTGCACATAAAATGCTCATGAGTTCAGGCCAGGCACCGAGGCTCATGCCTGTGATCCTAGCTACTGGGAGGCAGAGATTGGGAGGATTGGAGTGGTTCAAGGTTAGCCTGGGCAAATAGTTCAACATACACCATCTCAGCCAATAAAAGCTGAGTGATGCACACCTGTCATCCCTCAGTTACTTTGGATGACAGGCTGGCCCTCGTATAAAGCAAGAATGGCACCAGTGGTTCATGACTGTAATCTTAGCTTTTTAGGAGACAGAGATCAGGAAGATCATGGTTTAAAGCCAGCATGAGCAAATAGTTTGTGAGACTCTATCTCAAAAAAACCCTTCACCAAAGAGGGCTGGTGGAGTGGCTTCAAGATGTAGGCTCTGAGTTCAAACCTCAGCACTACAAAAAAAAAAAAAAAGTAACGAAAGCAAAAAGGACTAGAGACATTATTCAAGTGGTAGACCACCTGCCTACCAAGCACTAGACCCTGAGTTAAAATCCAGTACTTAAAAAAAAAAAGTTTATGAGTTCCTTGCTGAAAATATGAAATACCACTAAAAATTGAAATAGCGAGGCTGAGGGGTGGACAGCTTGCCTAGCATGCCCTTGGCTCAGTCTCCAGTACTGAAGAAAGAAATTGAACCCCAATCATGACCCAATCAATTACCTTATTTTTGAGGCCCTCATCATTTCACAAAAGATGTGGACAGCCGCTGGAGCTGCTTCCCACAGGGTTCAAAACGTGCACACTGCACAAAGCCAACAGGGATCATAATGCTAGTTGGCTTTTGAGAAGATGACAGCTACGTCAGGCTTAAGGCAGGCAAGGACACAGAAGACTGTGGAGTTATCCAGGAAACACAGAGGGGCAAATGCTCGAATGCGAGAGAATACCTTCCAGCAAGCACATCTCAAATGTCTACCTTTTTGTGACACAGAATGACACGGCACACAGAAATTTAGCTTCGCTAGGGTGGCTGTCTCCAAAGATTGGTGGGGAAGATCTCAGGTTCTTACATTTCTCGAACAAAGAACTGGACAAAGACACAGATTGGAAAGCAATATTGCAAGGAAAGTTCAGGCACCAAAAAAGAAAGAGTGGCGGACTTTGGCCAGAGGGCGCAGAAGCATTGATCTTTGTTCAAAGGGCAGTTTGTAAGTTGTAAGGGTAAAGGAGAGAAGAATCTGGGCGGACTTTGCAGGAGGAGCTAGGGTGATTGACAGGTTTGATTGACAAGGTCTCGGCATATAACACGGGACAGTCTGTGCATGCTTGTATGTTGATTCCCAGGTCTTTGACTGTATGCATGAAATGTGACCAGTATTCATAAGGTGTAAATAGAGGGCTTTACCTGAGGTTCCAGATTGACAAATTTGTGCAACGAAGGACTGAGGCCCCCTGGTGTTTTGGGGAACTTACAACTGCAGAGAAATTTACAATTGAAAAGGAACACACAGGAGTGAGTGGGAACAGGGAGTGACCTCCTGCTGAGGAAGGTCGAGTCCCTAGGTGGCCTTTTTTCTTTCCAGGTTACTTGCCTGCCTCAATACTTGTTCTGTTCCCTGGCAATAGGAGCGGGCTTGAGCTGACTGCAGTGAGCACGCACCTGGCAGGAGTGAAGCCATTGTTGAGAAAGAGTGTAGGAGAAGCTTTTTAATTCTCTCAGAAATGCTTCTAATGGAAGAGCCCACATCCTAAAATTGGGACAGTCACTGTCCAGTCCATAGTGGCAGCCTTAGACCCTAGGATCCATAGGCAGGGAAGCTGTGAGAGGGAAACCGAGGCAAAAGGCCTGTGCTCCAGGCAGAGCATACATGATTGAGTTCTGAGTTTGAAGATCTGGAGGGGAGGGAAGAACCCTGGCATTCATTCAGCTGACACCTGCCTTCTTCCTAGCTCATTGCAGATCACCTTTGTTCTGGGTGACTTCAGTATTTGTGGGGAACACAGAACAACTGGCCTCTAGCTTGAGTCACTCTACCAGTCCTTTTTGTGATGGATTTTTTTCGAGATAGAATCTCATGAACTATTTGCCCAGGCTGGCTTCGAACTTCGATCCTCCTGATCTCTGCCTCCTGAGTAGCTAGGATTACAAGCAAAAGCCACTGGCGCCTAGCCCATGGCCAGGTCTTCACCTGACTTGACCACTCATGCCCCAGACCAGAGCTCCAAAAACTTCAGTAAAGAGCCAGGTAGTGACTATCTTAGCCTTGGTGGGTCATATAGTTTCTATCACAACTACTCAGCTCTCCCGTACCTGTGTGAGAACAGCTATTGCACAGAACATGATAGAACGGCTGGCTGCAGGAGGACTTGCCTATGGGATGGAGTCTGCAGCCCCCCACCTCACGCATTACTGATAACCAGACCATGATCTCAATTTGAAGCGCTCCCCCCCCACCCACCGCTTCCTCCCTCACTGGCAACTCAGTGATTCCACAGTCCCTCACCCCTACTGTCTTTATCTGGGAGCTCTGTGGCCAGTCGTATGGCTGGCCCTTGCACACACCTGCAACTCATCTACTCTCTCCTGCTTATTATTCTCACTCTAGTTAAACCCAGCTGTGTGTGCTGCCCTGGGCCTTGCACCTGGATAAGGGAGGATGAACAGATTCAACTATGTTGGCTTTAATGTCAGGGTCATTAAACTCTAAGTGATCCTTCGTGCAGTTCTGTGGGGACAGAATGTCCCCTGGCCTGCCTGCTGTCTTAGTTCCCTCTGGCTCTGTAACAAACCTAATGATTTGAGGGGCTTAAAACCAGCATTTAGTTTTCCCATTTAGTACATACAATGTTTGCTATAGGTTTGTTGAATATGGCCTTCATTGTGTTTCTTCAGGGAAGAAGGGAGATGAATTTTGTCAAAGACTTTTTCTGCATCTGTTGAGAGGATCATGTGATTTTTGTTCCTAATTCTATTTATGTGCTATATAATGTTTATCAACTTGTGTGCATTGAAAGAAGTTTCCATAGTGTAATGGTCTACTCTGGACTCTGATTTGCATATGTTGAACCATCCTTGTTTTCCTGGAGTGAAACCAACCTGGTTGAGGTGTGATCTTTTTAATGTGCTGCTCAATTCTGTTTGCAAGTGTTTTATTAAGAAATCTTGAGTTTGTGTTCATTAAGGAAATTGGTCTGTTCTTTCTTTTTTTTTTTGTGGTACTGGGGCTTGAACTCAGGGCCTTCACCTTGAGCCACTCCACTATCTCTATTTTTGTGAAGGGTTTTTTGAGATAGGGTCTCGTGAACTATTTGTCTGGGCTGGCTTTGAACCGTGATCCTCCTTATCTCTGCCTCCTGAGTAGCTAGGATTACAGGCGTGAGCCACTAGTACCTGGCTTGTAGTTTCCTTTATTTGGTTGTTATTGTGTCCTTATCTGCCTTTGGTACCAGGGCGGAATGAGTTTGGTATCATTTCTTCCCTTTTTATTTTATTTTTAATTAGGATATATTTGTTGTACAGGGGGATTCATAGTGACAGTTCCAAATAAGCTTATATTGTACATTGTTTGGATCACCTCTGTCATCTCTCCTCTTTCCCTTTTTATTTAATGAAACAGTTTGAGGAACATTGCTGTTAGTTCTTTCTTTTTTCTTTTTTTTTTTTTGAAATTGACCTCATGATTTTATTTTCTTCATAAAAAAAACAGAAGATGGAGCTTAGAACTGGATCATTTGCCCCTTTCTGTTCGTATCTTTTCCCGGTTCACAATGCTTGCCTCTCTTGATAAGTCAGCGTTCTCTTAGATCTGCAGTAGGGCTCAACACACTTAAGCCTCAGCACAATTTCCTTTGTAGTTTTAGATTTTTTTCTGGAAAATCAGCTTGATTTGCCCACCATAACCACTCTGCTTCCCGTCATAACACTGTTTTCCCTGGTCATACAGAGAATCCCTGCCCTTCTTGTACTGTGTCACTTTGTGAGGTTGGTGCTTGCCACACTTCTTACAGAAAGTCAGATGGATTTTAGGAACATTAACCATGATTATGAGAGGGCTATCAGCACCAGAAGCTGTTAGTTCTTCTTTAAAGAGCTGATAGAGCCAGGCACAGGTAACTTATGCCTGTAATCCCAGCTACTCAGAAGGCAGAGATCAAGATAATCACAGTTTGAAGCCAGCCCAAAATAGTTCATGAGACCCTATCTCAAAGAAACCCATCACACACACAGAAAAAAAGGACTGGTGGAGTTGTTCGAGTAGTAGAGCACCTGCCTAGCAAGTGTGAGGCTCTGAGTTCAAACTCCCGTACTGCCAAAAAATAAATAAGTAAATGTTTGGTAGAAATCAGCAGTGACCCATCCAGTCCTA